GCCAATCTCTGGCGGAAAGCCCGCTGCTCCTCCACCAGCTCCTGCGCCCTCGTGCGGACCGCTCCGAAGGCGTCGGCGACTGCTTTCTTGATGGCCTGCTCCACCTCGGCCTTGCGCTTCTCGACCTCCTCGCGCTCAGACGCCGATATCTCGATCCCCTCAGCCTCGAGACCGAACAAACCGTCATCCTCGAAAACCTCGAAGCCCTCGCCGTCCAAGAGCTTAGACAGATGCAGCCCATGGCGGACCTGCCCCTGAGGTTCTGGCCGAACTTGCGGGACGCCTGCAGCGAGCGAGGTGACCGCTTCATGGTACTTGGCCTGGCACAGCTCATAGTCCTGAAGGGCCAGCACCGCCTGCTTCTGGGCCTGCACGTACTGGTCGCGCAATGAGTCCGCTGTCTTGACGCGCTTGTCCAGCTGCTGCTTGGCCTCCCGCATCGCGTGCTGGGCCGCTCCCACCGAGGGCTGCTTGGGCTCAGCAGCCCGCTGCAGCCTGTCGATGAGGCCCTGGTAGTACTTGACGTTCTGGCCGTCGCCCAGGCTCTCGAAGGTGCGGAGCAGGCCCTGCAGCTCGGGTATGTCCTCAACCTTGTACTTCGAGTCCTCGTCAGCATTCGCGCTAGCCATGGCGCTAGGCGGGATCCAACCTGATGCCTGAAGCTGTAGCCCCGCAGGTAGCACCTGTTGCAGGGGCTGCGGTGGGCCGAAATAGGCCTGCGGACCCACCTGCTTCGGGCCAGGGAAGAGCAAGTAGCCCTTGCCCCCCTTGGTCTCCCCCTTCTTGCCCTTGCCCTTGCCACCTCCTTTCGGTCCCCTGGCCGACTCGCCGTGAGCTGGCAGAGAGCCCAGTGGCGGAAGCTCCGCCCACACGCCCTGGGCTGGCGCCTGGGCGGCAGGCTGCACGTAGGACAGGGGCTGGAGGCAGTGCTTGCAGAACCAGAAGCGGGGAAGGTTCTTCTTGCAGCCACAGTGGGGACACGGAGACTTCGAGGATCCACTGCCGTCCTCGTCTTGCTTCTTGACAGGCCCCACCCAGGTCCACTGCCGAGCATCGCCCTTATCGTCACGCATACTAGGCTGGCCGCGACGAGAAGAGCCCATCGGAGTGCGGCGGGCGGTCTACGCCCGGAGAAAGTAATTGTAGAAACTTGCTCCAGCAGGAGCTCACAAAAACTGAAGCCAGAAACTGGCCGCAGGATCACAGGCAGGGGCGCGCCTCCCCCACGCCAAAAAGGCCTCGGTCCCTGAGCGAAACGCTACGGACTTGAACCAAAATGGCTACGGACTCCTCCTCCTCCTCCTCTCTCCTCCTCCTTCCTCCTCCTCAAATCCTCCTCCCCCTCCCTCCTCCTCCCCCTCCTCCCCTCCCTCCTCCTCCCCTCCCTCCTCCTCCTCCTCCTCCTCCTCCTCCTCCTCCTCCTCCTCCTCCTGCTCCTCCTCCTCCTCAGAACGAGCCTCACCTCGTCCAGCCGTGGCTCCCACGTCTGTGCCGACGATGGTCTCTCGGCTGCCCGGAAGTTTGTCCCGATGGATCCTGGCCGTCGTCACGATCGGTGTGCCGGTGGTCTTCCCGATCGTTGCCCCGATGTTTGTCCCGATGGTTGTCCCGACCGTTGTCCCGTGATGGTCCCGATGTTTGTCCCGATGTGCTGGTGATCGTCCCGATGTTTGTCCCGATGGTTGTCCCGATCGTTGTCCCGATCGTTGTCCTGATAGTTGGTCCCGATGGTTGTCCCGGTGGTCGTTTTGGTTGTTTCGCCGTGATTGCCCCACGTCTGAAAGGTAGATGATCGATTGGAGTTTGTGAGTCAGGTAGGTTGTGATATCGGCAGGAACGGAGAAGTGTTACTGATGTGTATATCTACCTACGGTCGCATCGGCAAGAGTATTCATAGTGATACGGACAGGTGTGCGATATCGACGTAATTCGTGTTACCATTGCCATCTAGTCCCCCTCACGTCATTCTATCCCCGATAATAGGCGGCACAGCGCGCGAACCTAGCGATGTTCGACCCTCCCCCCCCCGCGCGCACCCTGGCGAATTCATGTGATGAAAATCACATGTGGGCAACAATTTTCCCACATGAGACCACGCGAGCCGCTCGCGTTCAACCTGTTGCCCACGTGAGACCACGCGAGCCGCTCGTGTCCAACCATTTCCCACATGGGACCACGCGAGCCGCGCGCGCACGTCGAAATCACGCGGACGGCCTTGCGCGCTTGCTGAAGGGGCACGTTCCTCGTCGAATGATAGATGGCGGGCCACGTGTTCACGCTGGCCGCGCGTGCACGTCGAAATCGTTCCAGCACCGCATCAGCGGCACGTGGACATCACCGTCGTCATGAGCGTCACCAGCATCGGCGCCGACACTGGCCATGCAGTCGTCATCGTCATCATCGCCACCACCATTACTACTATCATAATTGTTGCCGCTGGTGTCGACGTCATCGCTGTACACCCTAGGCGATGCTTAAGAACAGTTAAATGTTCGACCAGAGTCTCGATTATTCTTAATGCTTCAATGTAAACCCTATGAGTCCAATAGAAATAATTCTGTGTTTCTTATCCAAATCTGAGACTATGAATGTCTTAACCCATGATTTCTTGAGCATTTCGCCGGGTGTACCGCGCCCGCCCGGGCCACCAACCCGCATTGCAGTGCCCGCGTGCCAGCGCGGCCTCTGTCATGCGCTCGGACGTTGCCATTGGTATGCGCCATCGCGGCCGCATCGGTTGTGCCAAACCAGCTACAGTCGGGGCCCTGAAGAAGGAACCCTTTTCGTTGGGGAGGGGCTCCGTGTTCCTTAAGTGTTTCACAGCTTGCCTCAGGTGTTCCTCATGTTTCCGATAGGAAATCGAAGGTAAATTGAATGGAACAAAGGGGCCTCGTTCCTTATTTAGGGTTCCTTAGGTCAACGCCCCGACTGTAGCAGCTCTGCGCGCGGGCTTGCAAGCGCCAGCGCGGCCGCAGAGACGCGCCAACCATGACCAAGTAGACCGACCCGCAAGTGCACCGCATGGGTTTCGCAAGCCGAGTCGCGGGCGGGAGGGTGGGAGAGCTGCGGTTGGCAGTTCCAAATTCCTCAAACATGAACTGCACCACGCAGGTTGCTCCACATAGCATGCTCGACCACACTGTTTTGGGCCCACGTTGGCTAGTAGTGCGTCCCTGTCGCACCCCCAGTCATGTCAGCCGGGCGGACCAGGCGTGTCGCGTGATATCTACCTAGCTACAGCCTAAGAATGGAGGGCGGCCCTTTTTGAACAAAAAATGCAACAACAAAAAGTGACCCTCGCTTTCACGGATGGAGGGTGGCCCGTTTTCAACATTTGGTTTTCGCTCTCGCGCATCACGCACTCGTCTGAAATATTGCAAACGTTTCACGGATGGAGGTCGGTCCGTTTTCAAGGTATGGTTCTCGTTCTAGCGCCGCGCACATTCGTCCTCAACATTTGCAACACTTTGCAGGATGGGGGCTGTTCTTTCGTTTAAGATGTGGATCTCGCTTCAGCGTTGCGCGCATGTTGCACCACGAGTTCCCCGTAATTGTAAGGATGCGTGAGGCTGACGTCTCAGGGAATGCGTTCCTTCGCAACTGCTCATGGATTGCCCCGCTACTTCTCTGGTTCCCCACGACTGGCCCGTTAGTGCCCCGCGATCGGTCCCCGAAGGGCCCCGCGAGTGGCCCACGTAATGAGTCTGGCCCACAAATGGCCCAGCATTGAAACTGATCCTTTACAGTGGGGGCGCGCATCAAGAAACCATATGGGTTTCGTCAGGGTACCCTGGGTTTCTTCGCTCCTCGCGCTTCGCGATGACTTTCCGCAGCCGTTGAAGGATTTGCTGCGTTCAGGGTGCTCCAGTTTTCCCCTCAAGTGCACCTCGCGCACGGGTTCTCAGGGTTGGGTTTCTTGCGAGGGTTTCTTGCGGCCGCGCCCGCACTGTAGTAACCCACGAATGGCCCACCAATGACCTGCTAATGACTTCTGCCACAGTCGTGGCTCACGTAGGATCTTCGAAAGGCTCGCCTCTCACCTGTCTTTTGCGAGACCATTGGTCCCAGACCAGGCGGCCGTTAGCGTGCCATTCAAGATCCGAAATCAGAGTGAGGCAGTGCCCTTCACGAGAAGCCCCACGGACTGTCGGGGCGCAACAGTCACGTTGATCCGTCGGGTTGTAGGACTCCGTTGATGCGTCTTGGATTCACACTTGTCCCTCATCCTCCTCCCCTTTTTGTCCTTTGCCACTCGGTTCCCCCTTCCCCTGTTCGCTTCCCCTTGCGTTGGACTCATGCCTCTCATCGCCGTTTCCCTCCGATCCCTACTCCGCCTCTTCCTGTTCCCCCATTCCCCCCCTCATTCTTGCGTTGGCCTTCGGGCCCCCCTCGCCCTCGTGTGCGAGCGGTCGTGGTCTGGCAGTCAACTACAATGCAGTCACGGGGGCGAACTCGGGAAACCCTCTGCGATGCGACTGAGCCTGGGAGGGTACCTGAATTGGAGTCAACGGGCCAAGTGTTTCGATTTCCCCCCCTGTGCCCCAGTGCAGTCGTGTGAGGCGCACAGAGTCGATTCGATGAGTGAATCTCCCCGACGCGGGCTGATCTGGTATGCGTCTGCTCTTTAAGGGATGGCTCGAGCTCCAGAGCACGTATGCCTAGTTGCCACCTCGCACTACGTTGATAGACCGTCGGTTTTAGACTGTTTGAGATTCTAAGGTGTTATTCCCGCCCTGTCTTGCATCTCACTTGATATTGACACTGGGAGCCCAAAGCGGCTCGGAAACATCTGGGCCAAGTTTCGCAGAGGTTTGCAGGCTGGGGCCGTCGAGGGCGGCCCTCCTGAACGCCAGCTCCAGTCCACCAGAAACAGTCGGATGACGAGACGGCCCAGCTTGCTCTGAGAGGCGACGATGGGCCATCTTGTGGCACGGAGCAGTTCGGCCTCGTGTGGGTCGCTGCGGCACGAGAGCGCATGGCCACGGGCCGCCGGTTGCCAGGCAGGGGGACATCGGCGACCGCTTCTTCATCCTGGCCGAGGGCAGGGTCGGCGCCTATATGCAGGGCGACGAGGGCGAGAAGGAGGCGCGCACTGCCGGGGGGGGGGACAGGCCGGATCTAGCTGGGGCGCTGTCCACTACACTTGGGGCGGACAGGACCCCCACCCTGACACGTCGATTCGTGAATTGTCCGTTTCCGGCTCTCGAGAGGGCGCCGCGGCCGTCATTTTCCAGGCTTGCGCCCGCCAGGTTTGGGCCCGAGGTCGTTTTTCACTGAACCGCGCTTTGCTGAAGGGGGTCCTTGCCAATCCCCGAGAGGAAGGCGGAGGAGGAGGAGGAGGAGGAGGAGGAGGAGGAGGAGGGAGGGAGGGGGGGAGGGAGCGGAGGAGAAGGAGGGAGGGAGGGAGGGATGAGGGAGGAGGGAGGGAGGAGGGAGGGAGGGAGGGGAGGAGGGAGGGAGGAGGGAGGGATGGGAGGGAGGAGGGGAGGAGGAGGAGGAGGAGGAGGAGGGAGGGGAAGGAGGAGGAGGAGGAGGAGGGAGGGAGGAGGAGGAGGAGGAGGAGGAGGGAGGGGGAGGAGGGGAGGGAGGAGGAGGAGGAGGAGGAGAGGAGGAGGAGGGAGGAGGGAGGGAGGAGAGGAGGAGGAGGAGGAGGGAGGAGGAGGGAGGAGGAGGGAGGAGGAGGAGGAGGAGGAGGAGGAGGAGGAGGAGGAGGAGGGGAAGGAGGAGGAGGAGGAGGAGGAGGAGGAGGAGGAGGAGGAGGAGGAGGAGGAGGAGGAGGAGGAGGAGGAGGAGGAGGAGGAGAGGAGGAGGAGGAGGAGGAGGAGGAGGAGGAGGAGGGGAGGGGGAGGGGGAGGGGGAGGGGGAGGGGCGGGGGAGGGGGAGGGGGGGAGGGGGAGGGGAGGGGAGGGGGGAGGGTGGAGGGGGAGGGGGGAGGGGGAGGGGGAGGGGGAGGGAGGGAGGGAGGGAGGGAGGGAGGGGAGGGAGGGAGGGAGGGAGGGCGGGAGGGAGGGAGGGAGGGAGGGAGGGAGGGAGGGAGGAGGAGGAGGGAGGGAGGAGGAGGAGCGGCGGCGGCGCTTTGCCTCGAGAGCGGAGAGGTGTCGGTGGTCATCCGGAGTCCCAGCGCCGCCCGTGTTCGCGACATCGAGAGGCGCACCGTCCGCCGGACCCCGCGCGACGGAGGCGTGGTGCCGTGGGCTTTTCCGGACAGCCCCGGGGTGTCTCTTACGGGCGCAGCGGACGGGCACGGCCATCTTCGGGGGCGGAAAAGAGGGGGTGATGACTAGGGGGGGGTGGGGATATCATGGCGGGGGCCATGATATTTCCCCAGATCTTATGGCGCCTCTTCTTATTTCATTACGTCCCTGGCCCCCCCGCTGGGCCGCGCACATGCCGCCGGTCATAATTTGCACCCCCCCCTCTTGGACACCCCCCTCGTGGCCGCTCCCGAAGCGGACGGGCACGGCAATCTGCCACTGCTGTGAAGGGCCTTTGTGGGCCAAGAGGTACAGTCGGGACGTTGACCTAAGGAACCCTAGATAAGGAACGAGGCCCCTTTTTCCCATCAGGTCAAGTTCGATCTCCCATCGAAAACCTGAGGAAAACCAAAGGCGAGCTCTGAAATAATCAAGGAACACGGAGCCCCTCCCCAACGAGAAGGGTTCCTTCTTCAGCGCCCCGGCTGTATAGGAAGCACCAGCTCTCAGGCTTAGATGTCGTTCGAGGTCTCGTATGCGTGGTCCATGGGTTGCTTTGGAGTTGGGGATGCTGCGAAGGCCCGAGAGGCTCTTCGATGGGTGACAGCGTGGGCTTTTGGGCAGCCCCGAGGGGATCAGACGGGGGTTCAGGCCCTTGTTCGGCCGCCATGTGTTGTTGTCGAGGCGTGGAAGGCATATGTTCAAACCTCGTGGGGCGAGTTTTGGAGCTCTTGGGCGGGCGGTCTTCGGGGCGTCTCGGAGCCTGTCGTGTCGGGCAAGTCCACCAGACGCAAAAAAAAACACCTGGCAGGGCTTGTCTTGCCCCCTCCTCATAGTGATCCGTTCTTCTCTCTTCCCCCTCCCTGTCTCCCTCCTCCACCCCTCCCCCTCCACTTCCCTACTCTCTCCTCTCGTCCCCCCCCCTGTCCCCCCCCTGTCTCCCTCCATCCATCTCTCCACTTCCCCCTTCCGTCCTTCTACTTCCTCTCCTCCTCCTCCTCCTCCTCCTCCTCCTCCTCCTCCTCCTCCTCATCACACTCCTCCTCCTCGTCCCACTCCTCCTCCTCATCCCACTCCTCCTCATCCCACTCCTCCTCCCCCTCCTTCCCGCCATCTCTTCCTCCTGTCCGAGTCGCGCTGGCCCCGGGCCGAGCTCCGGGCGTGGCGCCGGGAGGCCACCATTCTGCCCCCCCCCCCCCCCGCGCGAGCCACTTGCTCAAGCTGTCCCCGCGAGGCGCTCTTCCGTTCGGCGCTGGCGCCATCGGTCCTCGGCTTCGCTGCACTGCGCAGAGGACTGGGATGCTCGGGGGTGGACAGAACCCCCAACAGTGACACGTCGATTAGTGAATTGTCCGTTTTCGGTTCTTGAGAGGGCGCCGCGGCCGTTATTTTTCAGGCTTGCGCCCGCCAGGTTTGGGCCTCAGGTCGTTTTCGCTAAACCACGTTTTACTAAAGGGGGGTCTGTCCATCCCCGAGATGCGCGAGTGGAGCGAGAAGGCGCAGTTGCAGCAGCCACCCAGGCAGAGGATGGCAGAGCAGATTTTTCAAAGAAGGAAAAGCGACATGAGCATGAACTGTTAGCGCTCCGCGCGGGTTTCTTGGATCGGCGCTGGGCCCCCCCGCGGCGCCTCTGGCGCCGCCCCTGGCTCGCTCCGCGCGCCAGGGAAGAGGGGTGTCCGGCGCAGATCCAAGAAATCCGCGCGGCCGCCAAAAGTTTATATTCATGCCGTTTTGTCTTCCTCTAAGCAGCCACCAAGGCAGAGGAAGGCAGAGCAGATGTGGTTGAAAGGCAGCAGAGCAGAACCAGCTGCCCAACAGGCGAAGCGCCTCCTCTTCGCGAAGTGGAGAGATCAGGCCCTGAATCCAGAGATGGGCCCAGCGCGAAGTGCACCCGGATGCGCACGATTCTTTCTCGCATGGACTTGCCCCGTGCTTGGCACACTCAAAAGACTGAAACTGGTGGCAAGGGCTTCCTGGATGTTTAGCGCCACCTGCTGCCGCGGCGGTTCTGAGCCCATTCGGAGGCACGGAGGCACACTCTTAAGCTACACAGCCTACACTTCCGTATTAGCGCAACTCTACAGCGCCGGTGTTATACATGTTCCGCGTGCGGATCATGTATGGAAAATGCAGGGATTTAGCATTAAAACCAACGATGAGTTCATGCATAAATTTATACATGCATTAACCATGTATTAAAAACTGCCCTGTACCCTTGAGCGGAAAATAGCCGTGCTCGCTGACAGGGCCCGGAGCGAAGAGGGAGGGCGCACCTCCTTGTCCTTCTGCTTCTCTCGTGTTGTCTGCCCCCTCGTCCTCTTGTCTTCGGGGGTGGGTAGGCCTCCTACCCTGGCACGTCGATATTTTTGCGGGTCCAGGTCCGTCGGTTTCGGTCCCAGGCCGTTTTCATTAAAGGGCGGTACGTATACTAAAGGGAGGTTTGTCCACCGCCGATACCAAGCATCCTTCCCCTTCTCATCTTCATGCCCCCGCGAGGTCAAAGTCTACGACACGCAGGCGGGGTCCTTCCCTCGCCGCACGGGGCAGCGGGGGCATCTGTGTACTTCTGGACGGAATGATTGCCCGGGAGTTGGAGTAGTATGTGCCAGACAAAAGTCTGCAACGGTTTTGTTGGGGGAGCACTGGTCACCAGGCTTGCCGCCTGGATGCGCTATTCCTGCGATCCCCCATCAGGCACGCCCCCGTTCGGCGATGCTTGGCCAGAGGTCTTGCGAGCGAGCGAGCTGGAATTGTCAGGGTGGTCAGGGCCATGCGGGGACGTTCGGCGCCACGGCCCGCCACCGGGCCACGATCGCCCAGCCAATTCATTGGAATGTGGCCCCCCTCCTCTTCGTCCTCCTCGTCCTCGTCCTCCTCCTCCTCCACCTCCTCCTCCCTCCTCCTCCTCCACCTCCTCCTCCCTCCTCCTCCTCCTCCTCCTCCTCCTCCTCCTCCTCCTCCTCCTCCTCCTCCTCCTCCTCCTCCTCCTCCAGGGGGTCATCTCCTGGCAGTTGGAGCCCGTAAAGCCAGCGGCATGGATGGACCGGTTGGTCTCCTGGGGCCCAAGACGTTCCAAGATCAAGATCGGTACGTCCACTGCTTTCAGTGCCTCGTGGGTGCCATCCTTTGCCCTAGGTTGTCTCTCTACGGCGTCTCTCAGGCCTGCTTGCGCCCATCAAAGGGCATCGGAGGCCCAAATAAAGCGAGAATGCAAGAAACAGCGGTGAATAGGCGGCCCCTCAGAGGCTTATTGGAGGTTCGAGTGGTTCACTGGCGGCTCTCGTGCGGCCACTCGAGGGCAAATTGGAAATCGCTTGGGGCAGTCCCTTGGCTCCCGTCGCAGTCGGTTTCACTAGGTCGTGTCGGTTCGGTCGGTTGTTGTGTCGGCAGCCTCAGTCTGCCAGACATCTGCATCGGCGTCTTGACGACGATTGTACACAGCACGATTTGGATCAGCACCAGCACGTACAGCAGCACGAGCACCACGACCGGGACCGGCAGCGACCCACGCAGCAGCACCAGTGCATATGGCAGCACCGCCATGCCCACCACGATGGGGACCAGCCGCGCCGCACGCAGCAGTGCCAGGCCAGCCGTTCAGCACTGGCGATAGCACCAACGCCGTCGCCTGCACCAGCGCGGACGCCGCCAACGACGTTAAGATCAGCGCCCATCAGCGCCAACGCCAGCGCTTACACCAGCGCCGAAGCTGGCACCGACGCCAGTACGAACGCCAGCGACTACGGCATCACCACCTCCAGCGCCTACTCTTAACACTTAGCACTAGCGAGGTCAGCACCGACGCCAGCCCAACGCTGGCGGGCACGCTATCACCAGCGCCAGCGCCGACGCCACCACCAATCCAGCCGACCTCTGCGAACTCTTCGGCAACGCTGGCACCAGCGCCAGCGCCTACATTGACGCGGGCGCCAGCACCGACGCCAGCAACAACACCGACGCCTACACCAGAAGCGAGGAACGTTTACTCGGCCAGCTTGTGCGTTGTGACGTTTACTCAGCCAGCAGGCCTGAATGCGTGACGTTTACTCGACCAGCCTGAATACGGACAATACATGTGGTGACGTTTATTATGTTGGCTTGAGCCTTGTGATGATTACTCGGCCGACCTGCACGCGGTGATGGTTATTCGGTCGGCCTGAGTGCGGCCGCGTCTTGTCGACTCAGCGCCGACGCAAACACCGGCGCCTACAACGCCGGCGCCTGCGCCAGCACTTACGCCGGCGCCTATGTCGGCACCAACGCCAGCGCCTACACCAGCACGGGCGCCAGCACCGACGCCAACGGGTGCGCCAGCGCCTGCGCCAACGCCAGCGCCATCATCGACGCCAACATCAGCGCCTGCGATTGCGCCAGCACTGACGCACGCGCCGACCCCATCACCGACGACAGCAAAGACTCCAGCAGCGGGTTGCCCGACAGCTGCCCCGGCAACCGCCCGCGCGGAGCCCACGGAGCCGCCATGGAGCGCCGGGCGCGCCGGCGGGTCGCTGGGGCCCGCGGAGCAGAGGGCGTCCACGCTGCCGCGCCAGCCGCAGCGCGGCCCGCAGGCGCGCGCGGTCACGGGCTCGCCCGCCACGCGGTTGCCGGGCCACGTCTCTGGCAACCGCTGGCATTGGGGGAGCGCAAGGCGCGGGTTTGCCAGGACTCGGGTGCGCCATCGTTCTTTGACGGCCGCGCCTCGGAGTTTGGCGAGGAGGAGTTTCGTGGGACGTCTGCAGCGGGAGGCCTCGTCGAAAGGCAGGCTCGGCCTCGTCATTTTCTTGACGACCTCGTCGGGGATTTCCGAGTCCCCTGTACCCAGGTCTTACGTCCCCCTGATTGCACGAGACCGGCTTTTTTGGGAGCCAACACCGCCAGGCGACCTGCCAGGCTGGGGGCCAGGCGCCTATCAGGCGGCGTCGGCGGCGCCCCCAGCGGCCGCTGGCGGTCCCAGGCGTCAACGATCTCCAGAGCGATGTTGGAGATCGTGGCCGATCGGCGGCCCCCGCGGGCCCCTAGGCGCCCCTGGCAGCGGCCCGGCTGCGCCAGGGCGCCGTTTCAGCGGCGTCGGCAGCGGCCCCAGCGGCCCCGGTCGCCCCCCAGGCGTCTGTCGGTCCGTTGGTTTCGGCTTTGCTGTCGTCGTGGGCGGCGTTGGGCAGCACCCCGCAAACATTGTCGGATCCGCGTGGCGTTCTCTCGGGGCATCCCTGGCCCCATCGGCCTTCTGGGGTGCCCGCACCACGGATCCCAGGTCCCAAAGTGTTGCTTTTCAACTTGTGTTGCGGCCGCAGCCTAATCCCGCCACGTCCCGACCCTAGGACCCTAGGACACCCCAGCCGAAGGGCAGGCGACGTGCTTTGATCGATAATGTGGCGACAGCACGGTCATGAACTGCTCGCTGAACACTGGCGGAGGAATGGCACGCCGAGCGTTCGTAACAGTGGCATAGCTTGCTTCCGGGGGCAATTCTGTTGGGATCGCCTGGAGCAGACAGCTTGCTATTGCTGTTTCGTCGCAACTCCCCCGTCTCCGCCCCCCTCCCCTGTCGCCTCCCATTCTAGAGCAACTGGTGGGTGGGTGGCAGGGGGAACGCGCCAAGCGGGCGCAGATATTGATGTGTCGGGGTGGCCGGAGTGATGCGTACAAGAGTTTCCCATATCTCGGGCCGGACGAAAAGGGGGGGATTGGGAAAGAGGGGGTTACGAAATTTGCTGCATGCAGCTGGTTTCGGCCCCACCGAGGGGCCCATTCCTCGATTCGTAGCCGCCTCTGGCGCTGGGAGGCGCCGGGGAAATCAGCTACGTGAGCTGGTTATCAAACCCCCCCTTTGCTATCCCCCCCTTTCGCCCGACCCGAATACCCCGCATCTGGGGAGCACCATCACTTCAACGGCGCGACGGTTGCTGCAGTCTTGTGGGAACGCTCCACGGTTCCGTTCGTGCCTCTGGTGCTTCTCGGTTGCGCCGAGGGACTTCCGAGGCGCTCGTGAGGCCAGGGGCCTCCGAGCGCCGATGGCGTCTCACGGCGTGCGGGTCGGAGCGGTGGGCCGATTCTGCTGCCAGTCGTCGCCACGGGGACGGCGCGCGCGACGAGAACAAAAAAAAGCCCGAGGGGGACTACTTTGGCGAGATGGCGCTGCTGAAGGCCTGTCCGAGACTGGCGCTGCGACGGGGGGCTTAACAGGGGCAAGGAGTACAGTCAGGGCGCTGAAGAAGAAGGAACCCTTATCGTTGGGGAGGGGCTCGGTGTTCCTTGATTGTTTTACAGTTTGGCTTGGGTTTTCCTGAGGTGTTCGATGGGAACTCCAAGCTTAATTTTTGGGATCAAGGGGCCTCGTTCCTTATTTAAGGTTCCTTAGGTCAACGCCCCGACTGTAGATGCTCGGGGAGGCGTGAGACTCGAGCACGCCGGGGCTCGGGGTCGTCGACGTGTTCTTGTTGACGAGCGCGGCCGGGATTTGGACGGTCCAGCTCGCTGAAGGTGCCCCTGGCCCAAGGTGCCCCAAGCTTTCCGTTCAGTTCTGGACCCCCGGGGACCTTTTGGGCTTCGTGAGGGGTGCTTTGGAGGCCGTGGGGGCCTCCCTGGGCATCCTGGGGGCACCTTGGGCCAGGGACAGACACTTCTAGCAGCACCCGAGTGGATGAGAGTGCTGCCGTGGTGGCGCTGCTTTCGTCCATGTCACGCCTCTCCTCCCATGGACTCTTCTTGCACTCATCTTCCCGAGTTCTGCATCTTGCATGGGAGTGTAGCCAGTACGAGGTAAGACGGGGGGTCATGGACATATAGGCACCGGGAGGTCGACGAACCAGGAGAGATAGATAAGAGTAAGAGGGAAGGACAGAGAGAGTGGGGGGGCATGTAGAGATCAAAGAAATGACGACGTGCGTGTCCCATTTTATTGTTGGAAGATAACAGCCGATGGAATGCTTCAAACATAAAGGGCACTGGCTCGAGCGAGATCACCGCGTCGGGGACCCATACTTCCGACGTCGTAATTTCACCACATCTTACATAAGGCATTATTACTATCAGTGGGGCCTCTCCGCCTCACTCCCGCCTCCTCCCTCCTAATATTCACTCACACTCAGACTGACACACCAACTCACTCATAGTCTAACGCACTCACACTCACACGCATTCGCACTCAGACCGCTCCTACGCAGATTCACTCCTACGCAGACCATTAAATCTGATATCCACTTATACTCATATCCACTCGTACCCAACTTCACTCACAGAGACCACTCGCGGCCATATCATTCACACTCAGATGTACCCATGCTCAGACTTACTTATACCCGTGCCCACCCACTCTTAGACACGCTTACCCAGATTCGCGCACAGTCCGACTCATTCGCGCTCAGCTCTTTCATACTCTGAGTCACTTCACACCCTGGCTTTCCCACACACTCATACACAGCATCAGTTACACCTAGGACCATCACGATGTCGCAGACATGGCATCTTGACAATCCCGGGGGAGCCGCCAGGGGGTGCAGTAGGAGCCTGTTCGCGTCCTGACTGTGGAGGCCTCGAGCCAGACGCCCGTTCGCGGTCTTGGACGCCCTTCTTTTGCGAGCTTTCTAGCCACCACGATTTGGCCGGCATCAGCTCTGGACCATCCAGGAGGGAGCCAACACGGGGCGTATTATGGGCTCGCTCGCGTCCAGCGTGCGGGCGTTCCCTTCGCGAAGCGCCAGCTAGCGGGCGCGTGTCTTGTCAGGTTCCTGTGATCACCGCAGTACGGCAGGCATGGCATTTGGGCCACCCAAGGGAGAGCAGTTAGGGTGAGTGTGTGTGTGACGGGCCCGGTTGCGTCCATACTGTGGGGGCGTCTCTTGCGGCCCCGGGCTGGACGCGTTTCTTGTCAGAGCCCTATGGTCGGTCACCGCGATGTGACAAGCATGGTATTTCTACTACCCAAGGGGGAGCCGTCAGGGGTGCACGACAGGCCCATCACCCGTAATCCGATGCAATGTATTCCGACCGACCCATGTCAGACCCACACATGGTTCGGCGCCCATTCACGTGTGTTCATTCAAATTCATTTTGATTGAACTGTCTCAGAGCGTGAATTACCTACCCCGCTTTCGCTTCCAGGCAAAACCAAGTCATACCACGCGCCTCCTCGTCAAGCGGCCTGACCAGTACAGGCCGTAGTTTGGCATCGCTTGGTATCTCTTGGAAGCGAGGGTGGTCAAAAGCGAGGTCGGTTTGTTTTCCCCCTACTGTCTCGCTCACCTGCAAGTTCGTTCCTTTGCTCGGACACCCTTGGAGGATCGCGCCAGAAAATAGAGGCACATAGTATGGGGATCTTCGCCACGAGCAATTGTTCAATTCCTAAGCTTTCTCGTCAAACTCGGCGTCCGGCTGCTGGTTTCGGGGCCCAGGGCAGTTCAGACAACGATCCGCGACGAACAATTGGCTCCAGGGAAGCGGCCGAGAGTTCTGGAGGCCGCGAATTGAGGTAAGCACGATGTCGGAAGTCGCTGGGGGAGAGGCCTGGCGAGCACCTTCTTCTGCAGTGCGTGGGGCTTTGAAGCTCTCGGGCAAATCTTTCTCGTGCCTGCTCGCACGCCGTGGGCCGCTGTGTGTGTGGGGAATCGCGGGCTTGGGAACCAGAGGAGCAGGCCGCCCTGATTCTTGCGCCTGTGGCGTCCGAGGTCCGGGTCCGACGCCCGCGGCCGCGCCCCCCCTCCGTTCCCCTTCTTCCAGGCCTCCGCATCGTCGACGAGAGCATTTGGCCGAATACAGTCAAGAACCCTCATAAGGACGCGCGATTTTGCTCAGGGTACCCTTGCGTCCTTGCTCGTCCTTGCTCTTGCGTCCTTGAGGCTTCCGTCGTCCGCCGCCAGAGAAATCCCAACTTCGGCTTCCAAGGGTCTTGCGTCCTTACCGCGCGTCCTTAGTAGGGTGTTTGACTGCACGAGCACGTGGCGTGCTGCTGCACGCCTGCTCCTCGCGCCCCTCCGCGTCTGAATGCTGCACCGTGTGGTTCGGCGGTGCCCGAGGCCGCCCGCGCGCTTCTCTCGCCCGCCGGCTCCTGGTGTCGAGCAGTTGCGAAGCGTCTTGACGTGCCTATACACCGCACTCACATCTATACCCCTGAGTAGGTGTATGTGCGGCTGTTTTTGCGCTGTCATGTGCGCGGCATGTGCCAGTCATGTGCCAGGCCTGTGCGGCCCCTTCCGGACCACAATTTCAAAGTGAGCACTATAGAAGTGAGCGCTATAGAAGTGAGTCCGGTGTAGCCCTACCAAACAATGTTCTAAGAACCTCTCGTGGTTCCCGCGAAGTGTTCTCAGAGCACTTCTGGCGGAGGCCGCCTCGGTTGGACACGTCGGGCTCATGCTCTGAGAACAGTGGCTTCGCTCTCAGAACATTTTCGTGTTCCAAGAACATTTCGTGGTAGGGCTACAGAGATGCCGGGGACGGCTGGTCCCGGCTTAATGGTGGCCGGGCCCTTCCCGCCTCCTCCTCCGCGGCCGCCCTCTTCTTGCCAGCTCGCTCTGAGCGCCGGTCCGGCCGCGCCCTGCCGTTACCGACACCGTCACCCGCGCCCGCGTCCGTTGGCGCCGCCGAGGCAAGAGGTCCAGAAGTGGGGGACAACAAGAAACACAGACACTTTTCGTCGTCGATCCCCCAGAGGAGAGATGGGAAGCTCCTGGAGAAGTGTGTGTGTGTGTGTGGGGGGGGGGGGAGGAAGACGAGCCTCCGCAGGGTGTGGAAGAGGATGGGGAACCCTGGGAGTTGTGTTTAGACTTCTTTGCGTGTCCCTGGGCCCCTTTGTGAAGTGTTGCTGCACGCGCGGCAAACGGCTGCCCCAAGGCCAGGGGAAGGAGGACGAGGAGGAGGAGGAGGAGGAAGCGGAGGAGGAGGAGGAGGAGGAGGAGGAGGAGGAGGAGGAGGAGGAGGAAAGAGGAGGAGGAGGAGGAGGAGGAGAAGGAGGAGGAGGATAGGGAGGAGGAGGAGGAGAAGGAGGAGGAGAAGGAGGAGGAGAAGGAGGAGGAGAAGGAGGAGGAGGAGGAGTAGGCCAGGGCGCCCCAAGGTTGGCGGAGGCGGCTGCGCGGGAGAGGGGCGCGGGGGCGCCCTGCGCGGCCGGCAGCTCTCTCTCGGCGTGCGTCGGGTGTGCAGCACACGGCTGCATCTCAGCGTGGGGACACCGTCTCGATGCTCGTTTCGGGGGCCTTCTAACGGATCTGTTCGACTCAGGTTCGACTCAAGTTCGACTCAAGTTCGACTCAGCTTCGACTCAGGTTCGACTCAGGTTCGACTCAGGGTCGACTCAGGGTCGACCCAAATCGACTGACGTTCCACGCAGCTTCGACGCACGAGTGGAGCGAGTGGCTCCAGGAAGGTCCCCAGAACGAGCATCCAACACTGTTCTCACGCTGAGATGCAGTCGTGGAATCATTTCGGTATCGTTTGTCCGATCCCCATCCCCATCCCCATCCCATTCGAGACCCCCACCACACTACCCCCCAGTTGGAGATACAGCCCTCGAAACCCGAAGGGGATGGCCTATATCCCCATCTAGGGGGGTACATCGGCCAGCGGGGCCCAGGCCACGCCGTTGGGGATGGGGATCGGTTAAACGATACTCAGAGATGCAGTCGTGGAATCCTTGAAAGCAAAAGAACCCCTAACTTCAACAACGCAGTGAAGACGCGGCCTCGCTGAGGTCCCCGTCCCTGCATTGGGGCTAATAATAAATCTGGGTGGTTTGGTCTGCTGCATCTGCAGGAGAGACCCTCTGTCCCTAATGTTTTGGGCCCTCCTAGCTTAGGTCCCCTTCCAGAGTATTGGAGGTGCTTCTATAGTTAATCAATGGAAGGGATGGGTGGGGCACAGTGCGGTGCATCGAGGATTCATTAATCAATGGAAGGGATGGGGAGGCCACAGTGCGGTGCATCGAGGATTCGGTGACGCTGTCTGTGTCGAAGCCGCACTTCGAAAAGTTGCTGGGCAGCGCCCGACTGTTCTTTATGAGCAAGTTGGGGGACATTTCACATGCCAGTATTGTTGTCCGGTGTCAGAGTGTTGGTTGGCAGCCTCCACCTGGTTTTCCAGGAAATTCAACCCAACGATTTGAGCAAGTTCTTTGTAACTAGCGGTTGTGTTGGTGCGATTTCTTCGCTTCTG